GCAAATCACTGCAATTATTAAGTGAATCCAGCTTCCCCACTGACTTTACTTGTCAGAAGCTGATTGACAGACAACCTTGGGATACTGCAACCATCCTACATACTGGTTGCCAAGTGCCTAAATATTGACCACGTGGTCGTGGAGATGCTGCAATGGTTGTAAGTGAGAGGACTAGTCATCAATCACTTTTTGCAGTGACATTATAACGTCAAACAATCGCTAAACGAATGGTGCTAAATCGAGGACTATCTACATAATATACATTGGTCCAGTGAGCAAGCAAGAACTGAAGTTAAGAGAGGGAGGAGCCTGAGATGTTGTGGGAGGAGCCAAAGCAGAATGGGTGGGCCCATCAAATCAGGGCGGAGTCAGAGGTTCACTTTTCCTGGCCTTTCCCTTTCAACGGGAAAAAATGAGTCCGCCTGAAAGGCATCTCTAGGGGCATTTGTGAACAATCTTTCAACTTTGAAGAAACCGAGTTGGGGAGAAAGGCCTGGTGGCTGAAGAGGAAGTCGTTGGAAGTAGAGAAACTCAAGCTTGCAAGGGGGGTGTCCCTCTCCAACTAGGCTTCACAAGCTCATCAGTCCCCAAAAGTGTGATACTCAAATGGCATGTCAGGTGACAGGGCTGACCCCCATTAAATGAAAACTAGCAGCAGTGTGCCCACCCAGCCAGAAAACATGTCTTTCTTGCCAGGCTAGAGATTTCAACCGTACCGTTTAAAAACAAGAGTGTAACCTTTGTCTCTGATGGCAGCAGCTGTTTGTTTCCAGCCGCCAACATACGTTTTCCAGGTTGCTGTGTGGATAGCTCTGGCTCAAAAAATAGAAACTCTCTGTTATAATCTATGGATTATACAAAGCCTCGGCGTGGATGAGGTCTTAATTTTCAAGAGGACATCTGTTGGAGGCTGTGGAAGCCCTGGTCTTTTGAGAGCTTCTCCTAGAGTCCAGCTTCTGTTCCCTTTGCATCCAAAACACTGAAAATATCTGACTTTGAAAAAAAAATTGTATTACGATGCTCTGCTGGACAAATGTTTTAAATATTTTGCATTTGAAGGGTGGCTCAAGATATGAGCTGGAGGAGGTTTGCCTGCCCAAAATCCAACCAGCAAGTAGAAAACATCTGAGGGAGAACAGCCCCTTTTGACAGTTTTTAAATTTCATGCTCCGGTCTTTGTAATCGTGGCTTTCCACACCACTCCGATGTTATAGAAGCAGACAGTGTGAGTTAAAAAAAGTCGAGCCATAATCACACGAGGAAAGTTCTTCTCCTTTTAGATGTGACACTAACCCCCACCCCCCCAAAAAGCAGGTTAGCTCTGGCTAACATACCCTCCAGAAAAATGTGGTGCCTATTTGATTGTGGCACCTTGTTTGTAAAATCATAGAAGTTGGCCATCTCTGTCTATGACCTGCATAGGTATTGCTCGGATAAACATTTGCAGGAAAAAAACACTGACATATGAATCTTATAAACCCCTAAATTTTTGCCTATCAAATTTTATTATTGTTTGTTCATTTACTTGGTTTTGGGGCGTCCCCTTTTGACCTCAGATTTATTTATGCCGGAGGTGTCCAACCTTGGCCACTTGTAAGACCCGTGGACTCCAAATCCCAGAATTCCCCGACCGGGAGTTGAAATCCACCGGCCTCAAAATGGCCAAAGTTGGACACCCCTGATTTATACATTTAATTATGGCCTAAAAGGAAGAAATGCAAACCACTGGGCTCAAAACAACCTCCCTTTTAAAAAAATGCTAACATTTGTGTGTATATAGTAATTATAATATGTTCTGTTATATTTCAGTACATATAATATTGTATAATAATATTAGAAGTTGAAAAATTATGATTATGTATATCTAAATAATAATATCTTTATTAGAATTGTATGTAAAGTATATTGACCCAGACATACACTGTCTACCAGGTATTTATGGATGTTAAAAGAAAAATCATAAATAAAATTATATTGGGCCATGGATTTTTTATATAATTTTATTATATACCAATTTTATATATCGGTGGGGACCACAAAAAAAAAATTCTCTGCTTTCTGAGGAGGAAATTTGGGGGGAAATGACTCGGCTTTTTAAAAATAAAAATATAATTGCCTGCTAAACCATGAAAGCTTATTATAGGATGCCATTCTTTTGCACATGGGGAGGGCAGAATCCATATTGCCTCATTTTCTGACAGAATTTTGGGGAAACTGTGGCCTAAAATTGGAGTGGCCTCAGGTAAAGGATGAGGGTTACAGGTGTGCAGGTATATTGTTCCTCGCCTACTTTTGGGAGATGTTTAAATTGGCACAGGTCCCAGAGCTTTTAAATTATATTGAATTTATGAGGCACAAAAATTGCCCCCCAACCCCCCCAAAAAACACACATAACCCCTTCCCCCTCTTTCTCTCACCTGAACCCTTTGCCTCAACTAGAGGCGTCTGGTCTCCTAGCAACCTCAAGATGGCCTCCCCCGCCCGGGCGGATCTCTGGTTCTTGTAGTCTCCGCGGCCTAACCCTCTCAGCATGGCGTCCCAACTCGGAACTACATTTCCCGAGAGGCGCCGCGGGGGGACGAGAGACGCGGGGCCAGGCGGGACGGCGTCTACCTGGGCGAGGTGAGAGGCGCCGCCGCGGGGGTCGACGGGAAGCGTAGTTTCCCGCCCGATGCGCGGGCGGGCCGCGGCGGAGCCGGCGGGACTACAAATCCCAGGGAAGAGCGGGCGCACGCGAGGTAGGGCCACCGTCTCAGGGCGGGGGGTACGAACGGGAGCCGGTGGCGCGGTTGGCGGCCGCGGCCAACGGCTGCTCCTGCGCCCGCGCGCTCAGGTGAGGCCGCGAGGGGGGGGGCGCGGTGGGCGGGGTTAGCGGCGGCCCCGCCCTTTGGGGGGGCGACATCGCGGGCGATCTCGGGTTCCTGAGGTGGCTTATGGGGACAGGTGTCCAGCTCTGGCCTTGGGTACCCCCCCCCCCCCGAGGTGGGATGGCATGTCCGTTTCGCCTGTAGGGCGCGGGATTACAGCACCCAGCATCCCCTGCCCCCCTCCAGGGTGATGGGGCTCCTGATCCCCGCCAACAGGCGTGCAGAAATCGTGCCTTCCTTCTTATGCAATCCTCCCCTGCCAGCTTGGTCCATTTAAAGCTTAGCACCCATCCTCCCCTGCCCGCCTTTCCCAATGCCGTGCCTTCTAGATCAGTGGGACTACCCATCCTTCCAGCAGATGCAGTGCCTTCCAGATCTGGGGGAATGCAATACCCATCATGCCCCCCACCAGCTCATCGTGCTGCTTTCTTAGACCACTCTGCCCATCATCCCCTATCAGCACGCCCTGGGCCGCCCTCCTCTGCTTTCCCATTCAGGCCTGACCAGAAGTACATTTCCCATCGCTCCCAGCCAGGCTGACCTGGGAGTTGTCATTTTACGTGTAATTTTATGCCTCTGATGGTCACTTGGAAACTCGGCTCTTGGTTGTCTTTTAAAAAGCCTTGGCGATTTTTAATTCGGGCTCCCAATTTTTAGTTCCTTTTTATATGGGAGGAGGAGGAGGTGGTGGTCGTCGTCGGGGTGCAGATCCCCCTACTCACAGCGGTCTGAGCTGCTCTAAAACTTGATTTGGGCTGAAAAAAGCAGAAGTAGGAAGTTTCCGCCAGAGAATGAGTGACCTTTGCAGCAGGTACAGCAAAGAACTAGCTAATCAGCGGCAAAAAAACATGAAAAATCCCCCCCAAATGCAACTGGCATCCTAAGTGTGCAAAGTTACACTTCCTTTCCCTTATGTGGCCAAAGGCCACCTTAAAGGAGATGCCACCAGACTTCCTGTAAGTTAGGGTGGTGGCTTCTTAAACCGCTTTTGTCTTCTAAGAAAACAATCAAGCAATGCCTTTTCTCTGGTGCTCAAGGAACAGTTTCCCCATTGATTTCGCTTTTGGGAGGGCGTAAATCTGTAGGTAAGCCATAAGTTTTTAGGCCTTCCTCCTCCTTCCCTGCCTTCATGAGAACCAGAAGGAGCAAATGCTGGGTAGAACAACACAGGATCTCAAGATAGCTGGTCACAACTTTGCTTGTCTCCAGTGTGACATTTCTAATTGTCAAACAAGAGTGCTAACATATTCTTTAGTACACCAAATAAAGATGAAGTACTATTCTGTAAAAAAAAAAAGAGAGAGAGAGAGAGAGTGAGAGAGACTTTCCAACTGGGGGCCAACTTTAGATTTTCCGGCTACCCTTTTAGAATTCCTTCCGAAAATGAAATTCCTGAATTGGTCAAAAGAATGCTGTTTGGTGTCCTCAAGAGAGGAAAAAATTGTGGAATTGGCAAACTAGAAGAATCAAGAATCAGAATAGAGCTGGAAGGAATCTTGTAGGTCATCTAGTCCAACCCCCTCCTCAAGCTGGGAGACCCGATACCATTTCAGACAGGTGGCTGCCCAGTCTCTTCTTAAAAACCTCCAGTGATGAAGCACCCACAACTTCTGGTGGCAAGCTGTTCCACTGCTCTCCCTGTTAGGACGTTTCTCCAGGTTGCTTCTCTCCTGGATTAGTTTCCATCCATCGCTTCTTGTCCTGCCTTCTGGTACTCTGGAAGATAAGTTGACTCCCCTCTTCTTTGTGGCAGCCTCTCAAATACTGGAGTACTGCCATCATGTCACCCCTAGCAAAAAAAGGAGGGAATAAAACCCAGGGTACATTTCTGTAGCAAGGGCCTTTATCGCGTCTCTAGATTTGCTTGGGAAAATCCTCTTTTAATGGAAGCTCGTGCAGCCTTTTGGTGTCTTGGAGGGCAAAAAAGAGCGAAATTCTCGGTGTCCTTTGAACTCGTTCCTGGAATGACTCAAAGGAAAGTTGATGAGTCAAAGTCTGGGCAGGGTAACCAGCTCGGCAGGTTCTGGAAGTCTGGCCAAACGTTGTAAGAGAAAGGGCATCTCCAACCAGCCTCCAATTCTAACGTGGTTGAAGTTTCCAAGGTACCAATAAGCTGCTTCACCTCTTTGAGATTTTGTTAATTTTTAATAAAATGGAACTGGTTGGTTTTTCTTTCTTTCTTTCTTTGCTCGGCTGTTTTATCACCCCGTGGGTGCTAATGAGAATAATTTTTCTAGCCCTACATGCCGGCTATCAGATCGTCCCTGATTAACGCTCTGCTACCTAGGAATTTGGCAAAGCAGGGAGACCTGGCATTTGCAAGCTTTTGCAAACTTTCCAATTGGTTGCATCCAGTCTGGCCTTCGGGTCATGAAGGAAGGAAGGAAAGAAGAACAGCCATGGCTGAGAGAGATTACCTGTGACTTTGACAACTTTTGCTAGAAAATTGAAAGATTGGGGAACAGGTTGGTTTCGTGCCTTTTAAAGATTCAAAATTGGGGAGGGGGGGAAGGTTGTTGAATGACACAGCTTCTGGGCCGTGCCTTCCTTCTGGGCCCTGCTGCTAATGATCCTCATTTACATTCCAAATTAAATGTATACATTTAATCCGTTTATATTATTTCCTCTGATTAATTCCCTCGCCCTCGAGTTTTGCGATGTGCGATGACAAAGGAGCTGTTTTTCAGCGTGCGTTTTGAAGCAGCGGCTTTGATGTTCCCGGTTGTTGGAGTGAAAAGCTTTCCTTTTCGGTGGCGGTCAAAAAAACCTCAGAGACGTGAGTCTCATTGATTGGGGGTGGGTGGGGAGGAAGAGCCGAAGGATGCACCCACCTTATTCATGGGGGATGTAAGCCTTGGAGTGAGAAGAGTGACTCTGAGAACGCGCAGAAGGCGACTGAGGAAGGAAGTGAAGGTGGGAAGGAGGCAGCAGGAATTCCAACGTCCAGTCTGGCCTCACACACACACATACATACACACGCACCAGTAAAGAACAAATAGCTTGCCCAAATAGTTATTCTCCTTCCCTGTGTTACACCAACACAGTTGGCCCCATGCCGTACCAACCACAGTTTTGACACTGGTTGTCTGAACCAACTCAAATGGCATTGGAGAACCACGCACGTCTGGATCCTTTGGAAAGATTCCGCTTCCTGCTCCGGCTTGAGTTTTTAACACACGTCTGGAAAAGCTTATTTTATAGAAGCCGAGTTGCTGCCAGTGTGTGTGTGTGTGTGTTTTTTTTTTTTAATTGACGAGCAATAGCCTGCTTTGATCGCCTTGCCTCTTTAATCAGCTTAGCTATTAAAGTATTAGAAATCTTCACCCCTGCTCGGGTGCAGCAGCTCGGCTGAGTGGCTGCGCCGGAGAATGTTAAGTACAATGGGGGGGATTTGCTATGGGGGGGAAAAAGTGCGGAGGCAGGAGCTGCGGGGCCCTTTGTGAAAACTCAGTGGGCATAATTTTCCCATTTTCGTTGCCCATTCAGTTGGTTCTTGGGACTATTAAAAAGAGAAAAGGATCGATGCGAACGGTCTAATTTATAAATTGATACGTTAAGGTGACTGTTTGGGATCCAAACCGTGCTCTCTTTTCATTCCTCCATATCCTGCTATCTTCCTGAAACTGGCTAGCAGCAAGCCAGATACCAGGCACAGCTTTGTTCAAATCTGGTGCTCTGCCTTGGACTAGACAGAATAACAGAGTTGGGAAGGGACCCTTGGAGGTCTTCTAGTCCAACCCGCTGCTCCAGTGGGAGACCCTATCCCGATCTTCCAGGGCCTGAGAAGCTGGCAGGTGTCATCAAAATAGCAACATTTCAGGCCGGCGAGATGGCTTTTCGGGGACAAAAATAGGCTGGGAAAGGAAACAGGCTGGTTTTAGATCACCTTGTGGTGCGCTTTCCCCCCCCCTCACTCTATTTTACAAGCAGGTGTCTTCCCCATGCCATTTATATCCGTATCCTGTCTCTTTGCTAAATTGTGATCCTAAAGAAGAGGCTGATGGAGAGAGAGCTTGGCTCCTCAGTCCTGGATCCAGAAAGCCAGGAACAAGTCAGCTTTTTAAAACCCATGATACGGCTCCTAAGCAGGAGGGGCTTTGATTCAAGATCAAGGGAGGTAGTAATGCCACTCTACAAAGCCTTAGTAAGGCCACATCTAGAATCCTGCATCCAGTTTTGGTCACCACACTATAAAAAAGATGTTGAGACTCTAGAAAAAGTGCAGAGAAGAGCAACCAGGATGATGAGGGGACTGGAGGCTGCATATGAAGAACGGTTTCGGGAACTGGGCCTGGCGAGTCTAGGGAAGAGAAGGACCAGGGGAGGCAGGATAGCAGCCTTCCAATATTGGAGGGGCTGCCACAGAGAGGAGGAAGGGGTCAAGCTACTTTCTAAAGCACCCGAAGGCCAGACAAGGAAGAATGGATGGAAACTGAACAAGGAGAGATTCAACCTAGACAGCTTGCCATCAGAAGTTGTGGGTGCTCCATTGCCTGAAGTTTTTAAGAAGAGATTGGACAATTTGTGTAAAATAGTATACAGTTTCCTGTCTGAGCAGGGGGTTGGACTAGAAGACCTCCAAGGTCCCTCCCAGCTCTGTTCTGATTGATGGATTGAAATAAGGAGGAATTCTCTGACAGGCAGAACAATCAACCCATTGAACAGAAGTTGCCTTTGGAAGTTCTCCATCCCTGGAGGCTTTCAAAAAGAGACTGGACTGCCCTCTGTCAGAAATGGTATAGGGTCTCGTACTTGGGCGGCGGGGGGGGGGGGGTTGGACTAGATGACCCTACAAGGTCCCTTCCAACTCTGTTAATCGAAAGCCTTCCATTTCAGCTCAGCTCTGCGCCGGGCAGCCATTCTGCCAAGTGGATCCGTCTCCTCGAAGGCGCGAGAGAAATATAGGCTTAGCCACGATAAAAACAACAGCAGCTCAATCTTGAAAGGAGACAGATCAATTCTCGGGCCCCGTAAAGGCAGATAAATGCCAGCCCAGCAGCCAAGAGTAGCAAACGGTTCTCGGAGCCTCTCTTTACAAATTCGTGGCAGCAGAGAAAAATCGCCCCATCGATAATTCTGGTCTGGTTAATAAGGACATGATCAAAAGACCCATCTCCCTAACCCCCCCAATCCTTCCTACGAGTTTTTCTTCTTTTTCAAATCAGACGGAGGCGAGAGATCCATTTTTGGCACCGTGTTAACAGCCGCTCGTGCGAGAAGGATAAGACGGGTAGGTGGCCGATTCCCTTGAGACGGCCTTTCTCATTTTTTTTTTCCAGCCAAGCCTGGCTGGTTTAAGAAGAAACCCAGGTTTCCAAATAAACCACCTTGTCCCCCCAGATGAGACCGTCGTAGCTGGCTGGTTACCGTTCCAGATTTGGAGAAGGATTCATCAGCCAGAGCCTCCCTTTAATGATTTTTGGCTAGTTGGAAGGCATGAAGATATTTTTTTTCCCCTCCTGCCCAATATTGACAAAACCCAGATGTTCGCAGCGATGCCCTTATGTAGTACAGCGTTTGTCAACCCTGTGCAACTTTGAAGTGGTGTGGATTTCAGCTCCCAGAATTCCCCAGCCAGTTCTGGGAGTTGAAGTCCACAGCTCTTAAAGTTGAGAAATACTGACCTAATTCCAGAATTGGAAGAGGTGGGAAATAAATAAATGTTTAGGATCACTTACCTGTCCCAATTTAACTGAAGATACTAAGATGTTCGACAGGTGAGTACCTGCTCGGCCAGGAAGGGTTATTTTCTACCTTAGAGAAGATTGGGGTTCTCCTGCATCACCCTTTTCCAAGAAAACATATAATTATTAGGTAATTAGGAAGTTACTATTGGATTATAAATACATCAATATACCGTATATCTTTATGTAGCTATGGCAAGGAAGCCTGGATCATCTGCTGAGGAAGAAAGGCAGGAAGGGTCTTAGGAACTCTCCCCCACTTGATATTCCCCCACGCAGCCCCAACCGGTTGTTCTACAGCTCCTTGAAGACCAAGGAAGCGTAGAAAGCCAATAATGATCAAAGTGACAGAGAACTCGCCAATCTCTGCTCATGTTTACCAACCTCCCTGATTTCAATGGATTCTAGGTGGAGAGAGGGGTGTTATTAGGATGATGGTTGGTCGCACGCGCGAGCCAGAAGTTCAGACTGGATTTGGCCTTTTTTTAGCCATCTGTCGAGTCCTTGCCAAGGACCTGGAATACGCAGATGTGGGGGTTTGATGTGGGTTAAAAGTTTCATCACAGGATGTAAGCTGTTCTGAGTCAAAGCTGCCTTTTGTAATTGACCGATGGGGATTGTGTCAATGCAGTTCAAGGGTAGTAGCATTGCCCCCCTTACCGGAGTGTTGTAATGACGAGGCAGTCGAGTTGTTTGATCATGAACAACTAAATCATGATGATCTTTATTGGAGTCTAGTCTTGCATTTATACGCATTTTTAGTTATCCTCCATCACTGGTTAACTTTGGTTACTGCTTAACTTTCGTTACTGTTTAGCACAGTAATTATCTCTAGTTAATGTCTAACATATGTTTACTTCCTCTCTCTAATCCTCCTTTAGATTAGTGACTTTGTTTACCTGAGTTGTAATTGCTTGGAAACATTCTTTATCTGAGGTTTGCCATCCGAGATTGGAACATTCCTGCAATTACAACTCTACACTGGAGCTGCTGAAGTTCAAAAATTGGGGATCGTTCAATCCCTCTTAGTTCATTCTCTTGCCCGTTTGTCTTTCATAAGGACGACCCATAAACTCTTCCTGTTTGGATTCTATTCTTTGTTGGCTTCCCAAGTAAAGTTAACTTAATTTGGGCCCAGGTCTCCGCGGAAAAGGGGGTGAGCTGAAAAGCAGACCAAGGCTCTGCTTCGCAAATAATAATAATAATAATAAT